ATCAGGCTGGGCAGCGGCAGCCAGCCGTGAACAAGCAGGGGGTGAGCACAGCCAGGCTCGGGGGCTGCCGGCTCCTGCAGCCCACCGCTGCTGTGGGCTGGCATGGCACCATGGGCTGCAAGCAGCTCACTGCAACGTGTGCCGGTGCCATCGCTGCCACCTCCTACTCCTTCCCTTTGCCAAATGCAGAGCTGGAGAGGAGCGAAACCTGCTTGTCCCAAATCCCTGGGCTGAGCAGGTTCCTGAGGAAGGATGTCCTTCCTCCTCCTGCCGGGCTGTGTGTGGTGCTGTGCTGCTCCCAGGTAGAGACACATTTCGGGGTACAATATCCTCGCCTGGCTTTGGTGGGAGGGCTGGGGTGGGCAGAGCCCCTGCCCGGCACACGGCACGTACAGCGGCTGCTCTACGTGCGGGGAAACGCTGCTCTGACCTGCTGCACGTGCAGCGTTAGTCCAGGGAGGAAATACTACCTGCCATTAAATGCTATCTGAAAAATGCATCTCACTGCTAAACCATAGCACCTTTGGAGTGCAAACCACAGGTGTGGTGTGAATGCGGCGACCTACTGAGCCTGGCCCTGAGTCCAGGCAGGATGGGATGGGAGAGTGGGCACCGTGGGGACAAAGCACCCCTCTGCTCCAGCGTCCGGGCTCTGCACCTGCCAGGGTTGGCTCTTGCTACCTGCCCCCAGGACCAGGCTGTGTTTTCCCTGCAAACCTTGTCGATTTGTCCCTGGGTGTCCCCCCGGTGTGCCTTTCCTATAGCCGTGCCTGGGGCTGGACAGTGTCTGGCAGCTCCTGCCCTGGCCCCGTCTGTGTCTTTATCCTGTGCTTTGGGGAAGCCTTTGCTTCCTCAGGTCCCACCACGTGCTGGACGAGGGACAAGACTTTAAAATAAGATCCTTTTGTTTCCCAGAACAGCAACAATGGAAAGGTCCCATCGGTCCCACAGTCACCCAGTGTTTGTGATGGAAAATTCCCCGTCGTTGCGGGGCGAGCCCTCCCCAGCATCCTGCCGTTAGATGGCAGCATGGACGGGCAGGTCTGGCCGCTGCTGCCTGCACGGTGCCACATTCGGACTGCAGTGGACGGAGGATGCCAAAATCCCCTGATTTTGGGATACCAGAAAATCCCACCCCCCCCGCCAGACCCTCTGCTCTTCTCACGCTCAGCCTCCCCAGGCAGCCCCTGGCCCGTGCATTTTGTCCAGCATCTCAGCAGTGCGATGTGATTCATCCCTCCATCACTGTCTGCACATCACCACCTCGCTGCTCTTCTCAGGTTCACGATGACCCCTGATGCTCACAGTGGTCCCCAGCACGGGTATGCTGCTGGGGCAGGGACCCCCGTGGCTCCCCCTTCTCTGATCACAGCCCCCAGCACTGGGGAGGGGGCTCTGATCCCGCAATCTTGGCTCTGCACCCTGAGGCAGTGGGCAGTGCCGCCCCTCTGTGCAGTCCCCAGCTCTGCCTCATCACTCAGCATCATGGCGAGTTTAAATAAATCTCTCTCCAGAAACTTGCAGGGGTTTGGGCACCCACCCGGGACAGAGGGACGCCATCACTTTCTGCTCCTTTGAGATGAAGGAGGGAGGTGGTCCAAGATGAGTATGCTGAAGAACAACGTAGCCAGTGCTCTCAAGGTTAAAAGCTCACTAATTGAGCCAGGGGGAGTAGCGTAAAATAAATTCTGTGGCTTGGAGCCCCTCTGATGACTCCAGGAGAGTGACAGAATGATTTCTTCCCTGGGTTTGGCAATGAGAGCAGTTGAGTGCACAAGAAGTTTTCATGCCTTTTTGAAGCTGTGAGCACATGGTTCTCATTCAGGCTCTTTCTTCGCTGTCTGCAAGTGTGCATAATTAATAACCCTCTGGGGCGCAGCGTGGGGCTGCGTTAATTTATCTGTTCGGTGCTTGTTGGGTGCGCAGGCTGGGGCTGTGCCTGCGGTGCCGCCGCGCTCACGGAGCTCTGCCAT